TTTTGTCGTTTGTTCAGTCCCATACAACAATATATAAACGATGCATCAATCGCAATGCACTTGTCAATGTGACTTCATCTCGCAAAAATGACGCAATTTGTACACAGTGAGAGGCTAATCAAGTCACATTTTGTACAATGAAAAATGCTTTTAAAAGCGTTAACCTTCGTTTCATTAAAAAAATATTTGTGATTCGCTAACACCTTCACCAATTCCACTTTAAGAAATCTTGGAACCATCATCAGTTACTCTTTTCATAATTAACTTTTTAAACAGCAGCGTAAGACAAATTTAAAAATTCACATGTCACTCTAAACGTCCGTCTTTTTTGACAATGTCAGACACCATTGAAAGTTTCCGTCCGATCTCCTATCTTTCGGTCTTGAATTTTCTTGTCCTCTGCTGATCATTCAGTGACCAATCACCCGCCCAAAATTGCTGAAACCATCTATTAAGATGTCTCTTAATTATATTCTTTATTCTGTGAGTATAATTAATCAACGTAACTGTCGCTGGTGATAATTCCCATATTTTGAAGCAAAAATGCATTACAACTGGTCGAGCGTTTTTTCCCCATTTCGACAATCCCTTTGTTCAATTCAACAGAGTAAAACAACAGTGTTTATGATCACAAATACCAATACCGTCATTAAATTTTCATTTTATGACTAGAAAATGACGAAAAGTTGTGTCTTATAAAAATTTGGGAGATTAGGTGCTTTTTTATAATCTTTTTAATGTATTTGTATTTTTCATTCTAAGAAAAAATACACTTTAAAACGTGACGTTCCGTTGTGACGCGGCGACACCCCCTATGCTCTATGTTTTAAACATTAGTAAAATAAATTCAAATAAACATTATAAAATTAAAATTTCAATGTTAATTAGATTTATATTTGCGCATCTTTTGGTATATTGTATTTAATAATATGACGCCAAATCTAAAAGATATGGACACTGTGACATTACTTTTGGATCAACCCTCGTACAAGTGTGCTCAAAAGGCTTTTCAATTAAAAAATTCTTCCAGGACCTGTCCGTTCGAGCGACTCCTTTTGTATTGTTGGATTCTCATGACGTTGGACGACGCGGTTTCTGCGCGTCAAGTTTAAAAATGAAGTGCCTTTTGGAACCTTTTTCTATATTGATTTTTTGTAGAAAGAAAATAAAACAATTTCGAAAAATATTTTTTTTAATTATACTTATGGAAAAACAATTGCTAAACTTATTTAGTTTAGTACGTATATATTTAATTTTTGTCGAATTTAGGGCACCCTTGTTTTTTTTTTCTGTTCCGTAAATGAACGCCTTTTTTCCCTTTTTTTGTATAGACTACTTATGGCAGCTAAGTGTAAGTATTTACATTACCAATGTCTCTTTCCGAGATAAAATTGCAAATATTGTTTAATGTACTGTATTTCGACATAAATGTACTTGTTTATCGATAGGAGCGTTTCAAAAAATCACGTGCGGGTCGGGACAAATAGAATCAAAAGCGGGGCTAAGAAGACGTGGATATGCGGAATCAAGAGCATGTAAATATAAGGAATCACTGTCAGTTTTTGTTTTTTGGTTTTCAGGACGATGATCAATAGATTGGCTTGTGTGATAATTTTATATATAAACGTCTTTGGCGTTTATGTTTATTATAACGCATATCATGAAACCAAAAAAAGTTGTTCCTTAATTTTATGTTTTATTTAGTATTTTTCGTCAGCCATTGCCACAAAAAAAAAATATTGGACAAACTCTGTGGAAATGCGGATCGATGAAATGCGGATCGATGAAATGCGTTTGCTAATCAAATTCTTATTTACTTGTAGCCAAGTAATTTGGGGCGTCAAGTTAAGGTTTCAACTTGCATTACTATAAATTGTACTTTTCTGAATTTCAAAATCTCTTCTATGAGTTTATCATATATTTTCTATTTTGTTTCAAACTTAATTATTTGTGTCATTTAGGAACTAGACTCTTACATGTCATGTGTTTGAAGATATTCAGGGTTTATTGAGTAAGTTAACAATGTAGTTTCAAAAGAATGAACAAACAATTTAACATAGTTGTGTTAAAATTAAAATCAGGAGTTAAGGCAGAGTTATGCAGGTTAGAGGACCCTTCCTTTTTGGTTCAGCAACAGTCGCGTTTAAAGTAATAATTTTGGAAGTTCTATGGTCGATACAGTGACCTTGTGAACAAAAATAATTTATCCATAAGTCAAATTTTGATTTACTTTTTTCATACTGATTATTTGCACACTGAGTTGTCGAGGGATTTTTCTTTTTTTTCGAACACAACAAGGAGCGCGCGGCGGGTGTGACCTATCGACAAGGGATGCTCACTCCATCCATGGAACCTGATCCCATTTCTGATGTTCTGAGGTCCGTGAATGCTCTGCGCCTATTTTAAAAGATTGTGACGAATCAATTTAATTTTTATAACATTTTCTTAAACAGAAGACCTCATAAACTGTTATGTAATCAATAAAAGTTTTGTGATAGGGTCCTCTTGCAAACACAAATCTTACAAAAGAAAACTTTGGGCATATTTTATAAACTGTTTACTCTATTTCCAGACAAAGTTACAGCCCGTCCTCTGTCACCCACTCTTCTCAGCAATAGGATGCGGAGGTTTCAGAATAAGCATTTTCTTCCTAACATTGAAACACGTGACTTACTTAGCAGTTTTCTTTGTACTTAGTCATCGCAGGGTTAAGGTATAATTAGAGAACGTGTTCTACATACAAGCCAAGACAATAACTTTTATGCATCGTTATCATTTCATTAAGGTATAATTAGAGAACGCGTTTTATATACAAGCCAAGACAATAACTTTTATGCATCGTTATCGATGATTCGGGGGTATATATTTTTGTCGTGTACGTGTGTCTTTCCTTCTGTTTGTCTTTCTGTCTCTCTGGTTGTCTGTTTAAGCTCCCGTTATCGTAGGTTCAAGTGTATATAATTTTTGTCGTGTCCGTCCATCTCTCTGTTTGTCTAGCTGTCTCTCTGTAAGTTTGTCCGCAAAAAAAGTTTAACCTTGCCTATAACTTTTGATTTAGCGGAGCATTTAGTGACATATATATTTCAATTTCACATGTGTATTTCTTTCCTGACAAGACCTTTCTTTGGATACAGGTTTCACCAAAGTTGACTTTTGACCTTGACATAGGAGTTTGGCACACTATTACACAAAAAATACAAACTTTTAAATTTACAATATCTTTTGAAAGGTTGAAACTAGGACTTTCATACCTTATATATGTATTTTTGTGATAAGACCTTTCACTGGACACTAACAACGTCCCTTTTTAAAATCTTTAACCCTTGGCCTTAACTTTTGAACAGGTAATGCTAGGACTTTCATATCTCACAATTGTATATCTTACAATAAGACTTTACTTTGGTTACCAACATATGAAATTTGTATTTGAGAAAAGTTTGATCTTCGCTAAGTTGTCACACTAGGGCATCAGTGTTTCACTAACACTTCTTGTTCTTCACAGTTCTATGTATCTTCGTCTTCAATGACGTTCATGGTGTTAACTTGTCCTTTTAAATAGTGCACATTAACAATACTGTTTAAATTCCACCCTCTAGGTATACCAATTTGAGGAAGAAGTAATACCAATATCATTATTAATTTCAAAATTCACTCTTCAAATAATAAAATGTCCTTTTCCTCTCAATAACTTCATTTGCACAGGTAGAAAATTTACAACAACAGAGACAGGAAAAATGGGAGTTTTGTTTGTACTGATACTTTCTTATTGGCTTAATTGAATTAATTTAATTATTCCTTATATTAGTTTCCATTATATCTCTGAAATCGAGGGAAGTAAGAAGACTACTGAATGTCCTATCAGTGGAATATATCCTCATCTTTATTTTTTCTTAATACATCAACTCAGTGTTGTTGGATTTAATTACTCCTTATATTGTTTATCGATTTTATCACTTTTTACCCCTTACACGATTTCTGAAATACAGGGAAATAATCATGAGTGGGCTACTAAAAGTCTAATCAGTGGAATATTTCCTCATTTTTATTATACACTGTATCTCTATTCATCTTTATTTACTTCTTTCCTTATTTGTTTTCCTTATTTGAACACATTAATAGTGTTTCGAAGTTTGACTTTTCTTTCATAAAATATAAAACACATTGGCAAAGATACAACGATGGTATAGCTATTAAAAGAATAGTTCTCACATTGTTTAAAGGATAAAAGACAATTGTTCTTTATTCAACAACGAGTTGTGCGTTAATAAAATAAATATATGACGGGTGTGAAAAAAATATGTACGTCAATCTGAATGTATATTATACTTTGTTTTGTTTCTACTCTGAAATATGACATTATAGAAACGAAAAGTTGTAAAATATCCTTTTTATATTAATTGACATGAAAGCCTATTTAAAAGAAGATGAATAATGGTTAAGCTTTATGTGTAATTTTTTAAAAATAATTTTTGCCCAATCTGACATTAAGACGTACATAGTACTTTAACCAAATACTTTAAGAAATAAAGATGTATTAAATAAAAGAACGACGTCGTAAAAGAATTATTGCATCTCTCTCTCTCTCTCTCTCTCTCTCTCTCTCTGGCATAGTGTTCAGATATTATAAGTGGCATTTTCTCAACAATACCTGGAAAATTTAATTATCGGCCTGTCAATATCATTTTTCTGGACCTTTTTGATGTAAATGCAGTTGTTTCTATGTCGAGAAAACGGGTTTTCTAATGATTGGATTTTTGCATACCCCTCATCTGATCGAGAAAGTGTAGCGCTTTCCCCGACAAGCCATTATACAATTTTATGCGCTGCAAAGTAATCAAAGTATTTTTATATTATTATTTATTATTCCGGGGAAAATATGCTTATTATATGAAAGCCAAAAAATTGTATGTGAATCAAGCTTCGTCTTCTACATTTTTCCCTGAACTATCCTTGATAAAATTTGAAGACAGGATTCCGAACTCATCTACTTGTAGTCAAGTCCTGTATAATGAAAATTTTCAGGCATCAAATGTAAGATTTTGGTACGAAAAATCTGGTGATACAGAATTCACTTCTTGATATTCATGTGATTCAGAAGTCTTTTCTTTCATTTCTCCTTCAGTTGTTATGTAATGAGATGAGGACTGTCTGTTCACTTTCACATGCTTTTTTCTAAATAAAAAAGTATTAAAAAAAAATAAAAAGGAGAAATACACATAAATTATATATGTCACATAACTAAACAATGGATTAGAAAAAATACCTTTCACACATCCATAAAGTACAGGTCAAAACGTTTAGTATGACCAATATAGACATTCCAATAGGATAAAACCAGTGATCATCACATTTTCTAGCCGTAGTCAATGGTAAAACTATATAAGTAGATAGGGAATGCTGTATGAATTATATATAGGGAATTTTCAAACAAAATCATATGAATAAACGTTACATGAAAGAATGGAACTGTATCATTAATCTATCTAAATGGCACCTCTGATGTTTTGGAGGTCCGCGTTTGCTCTACTCCTATTTTGTAGTGTTTTATGGACTTTGATATTGAATACTGTTCGTGATCTCCATATCCTTCATGACATTGTTAATGATTATATACAGTGGGTAAATGACTCTGTATATTTACTTCTCACATATGGAATTTTTTTCACGTATTACCTTGTTTGCATTCCCGAGAATCCGTCATATCAGCTTTGCAGTTACACATCCCATCAATATGATTGCATATATCAGAACAGTTTTCAGAGCAAACATTTGAACAATTTGCGCCGAAATAACCATTTCCACAAACTGAAACAAAATAAAATGTCAAAGAATTATTTCTACTTTTTTTCAAATTCATAATTCATTAGAAATTTATTAAATGACTGCTGTCATGAGAAAAGGGCCCTTATCTTTTGACGTCACAATGCTCAGAAAACGACGTCAAAGTCGCGGTATTGTAAACACGAAAGTAATTTTTGTTGACTGTATTTTGTTAACAAGAAATAAAATTGAATTTCAAAGCGTAACAAAAATTTGAAACTTGATGCGGACATTTTTTAATAGATATATGATATATATTTACAATTTAGTATGTAAATTTATTCATAATTTTGTTTAAGTATTTAACTTGATGTAGATATACGAGGCATTGGACATGCACGTTGCTAGCTATGGAACAGCGATCAAAACGATGTCTATGCATGACTAAATTAAAGATGCTGCATATTTGTTTTCTGAGCAATTTACAAATGCTTAATTGAATTTTGAATTCATGTTAAGAAGTCTTAATATTAAAAGTTATATTCCATATACATGTATATTTTTTTCAGAGAGAGAGAGAGAGAGAGAGAGAGAGAGAGAGAGAGAGAGAGATCTATGCATATATAGTAATTACCGTTCTTATAAGCACAACTTTTTTTCTGAAAAATATATACCATAATTTAAAACGCATTTAGTCATTTTAATCCATAGTTAATCATAGTTAATCATACTTATGTACTCCGATAGCCAGGTGGCCTATCGATTTTAAAATGTGTGTAAAAAGGGGGGGGGGGAGAAGACAATCCAAAAAAAAAATTTCGAATAAAAAGACCGGTAAAAGTTAAAGCTAAGAAACATAATCCCTCTTTGATTGAATAAAGATACTGGTAACATGGGAGATCCAAACCTTTAACATAAACAATATATTTTTTTTTACTAAATTATCAGTAATAGAATATGCTAAGGGAAAAAAATACGGATGATGGGGATGCCACGAAAATTTTGCTAAAATAAATTTTGTTTCAAAAACTAATTTAAAATGATCAAATAAATACATTCAAAGGAATTGTATGGTAGAAATTACTATTGTTTCAAATTTCTGAAATTGTTCCGATGAAAGGAATGAATGAAATCCAACTGGAACCTATTTTGAAATATGTTAAGAAAAATACAGCTATTGTAGACTTTTCCCAAAAGCATTATACCCTATGTTGTCGAAGAAATTAACAATATTACATCGAAAGTGATATTATGAATGAGGATATTTATAAACCAAAAGGGGGAAAACTATTGCTAAGCAAAAAGACGTAAGAATTTCTGGATAACATCAATTACATCATTGAAAGAGCAAAAAAAGTATGTGACAAATTGTTATGGGTGTAATTTCCAAAAGTTATGAAATTGTTTAAACTCTTTAAAAGCTTTAATGAGCGTGAAATATATGTCAATGAATATTCATGATATGAAATAAATAAGTCACATTTTGCGTTGAAATCTTCAACTCTGATACATGTATCAAAATACCCGGCACATCTCGACATTAATTTCTTAAAGTTCCGAGATTGGACTTTATATCATAATCCTAACATGACTCTACGAAGAGTAATTAATAAACAAAAACAAATTTTTCTTCTTTTAAATAAAATATTGGCCATTACAGTCGCACGCAAGTAGCAACGGAGGTTGGGGTGTGCATTGAAAGCCCCCCCCCCCCCCACACACACACACACATACACACTTCTTGTTGCATCATAGTCAAATCCGTGCACTATAGGGCAAAAAGAATAAGGCACTGTATAAATGCTTGATTATGAAAATTTGATACTGAAAGAAGACTGAACCTAACCCCCCTCCCCAACGGCGAAATTGGATTCGAGTTTAGACACACACACACACCTTTTTTTGGTTGAGTAGGTTTTTTAAGGTAGATTCTTTTCCTAACTGAACCCCCCACCCCTCTTTTTCAAACGAGTTGTGTGGGGACAGGCGAAGGTACGAGTCAAATTGTTGTTTTTATTTTGATATGTTTGGTATGTTCTGAAGCAATAACTACGGAAAATGGCTTGCCTAAATATTTTCAGCGAAAGAGAGTCACCTTAGAGCGGTATACTATTACTTAATTAACAGCATCGCCTCATACAAAAAAGCATTAATGAATGTTGGACGTAATAGTTCATTATTGGATAAGACAATCGCATCGAAATGTGAAAAACTTATAAGGTATCAAGTTAATTAGCCATTGTCACGGAGGAAAATGAATAGATGACCGTTCGTGGCCGTTCAAAAAATTGTTTTGATTGTCAAGAAAAATATGGTGGTTGAAAGTGCCTACAACTGAAAAAAATATAGCTACCCCCCCCCCGCTCCCCCCCCCCAACTGAAATGGCTTCCTAAGGGCCTGCCATTCTTGCGTAAAAATATATAAGTATTCATTCAATTTCAAATAGATTTCGTCAAAATTTAGAACAGCACAATTCCCATCCCTTTGATTAAATTATACAATATTATACATAAATCATTTTTTTTTTTTTGAGATCATAGTAGCGGTCCTTGTAAGAATATACAAATGTTGTGTTTAATTAAGTGAAACAGGGAACAGGTGCCACAAAATTAAAATAAAAGGTTAAAGTGCAGAAATATTTCTAACCGATGTAATTGTGTTTTACTTTTTAAAAAAATAAGAAGTTAAAAGACGGTTTCAAATTAAGGTATAAATTCAAAGAAAGTTTCAATTTAAGTACGGTATATAAATCATTCAGATTCATTTGTCCTTTATTAGCCTATTTACTAGTTTCTACTCCATAACTAAGACAGGCGAAGAAAATGAATTGTATAAACAATGGAAACTTAGAGCTTTAACCATTTTAAATAAACTATTCAAAAAACGTAAAAATTTTAAAATCCGCTTTCATGGAAGATTGATTGATTGATTGTATATTGTTTAACGTCCCTCTCGAGAATTTTTCACTCATATGGAGACGCCACTACTTGCCCGTGGAGAGCTGCAAATTTTGTCCTATACTCGGCACTCAGGGCCATTGAGCATGGAGGGATATTTTTCCAGCACCTACTGCGACAGCATATTGTCCATCCGACCGCGACCAACAGTGGAACTCGGTATATTTTTTTCATAATGTTTATAAAAGGAATAAATGTTTTTAAAAACAAGTTTACATATCTTGGCGATCTGAGAATTCTTCGATACAGAAAATACATGGTGTTTTTTTATCTAACCACGTTACGTGTGTGTGTGTGTAGGTGAGTGGATGCAACAGAAAAATTTTTTCAAAGTGCGTTAAAATTTGGGACCAAGCTAACGCACTTTGAAAAAAATATTTTTTTTTCCCGCGCACTTTGTAAGGATTTCCTTCAAATAATCTCCTTTTTTACTGTCCTTGCATGGAAGAAGGGAAGGTATATTTTTTTCATGAATGTTTATAAAATGAATAAACGTTTTTAAAAACAAGATTACATATCTTGGCGTATCTGAATTTATTATTTCTCAATTGAATTCTTCGGTGATACAGAAAATACATGGTGTTTTTTTTTATCGTAACAGTTAAAGGGAATAATACACTAAAGTTACGTGTGTGTGTGTGTAAAAAAATATTCTTTGAAAAATTTCAAAGTGCGTTAAATTTGAAAAAAATATTTTTTCAAAGTGCACCATATTATTTGATAAAAATGTAAAGATTGATCAAAATTCCTTCAAATAATCGGTATGATAAACTTTTTATGATTAAGTCACTCAAATATTGACGTTTTAAATATTTAAGGTTTTGAAAAAATAAAAGGGAAAATTAAAGAGTCTTGAAGAGTGACGATCGTTTAAGTTCATTTATTCGTTTCTTCTTCTTTTTTTAATTCTAGTCTTTGATAAGTAGATGTTAAAGGTGTATAGAGGGCACTAACAGAGGACAGCTTCAAGCAACTTAGCATTTATCATAATAAAAAGGGGCCAATTTGATTGTTCAAAACTATGAAATTCTTTCTCTCTGATACGTTTTACTTAAAACATTATAGTTTTCATCTGTTTTATAAAGTTTTGGTCTGACATTTTTGAGGTTAGGGTTAGGCTTAGTTTTTTGAATCAAATAAAATCTCTCCATGTGTGTGTGTGTTCTCCATGGTAAAATATATTGATGTAGGATGCTGTCTTTAACGATATATTTTTTCAAAGTGCGTTGATTTTTTTCTAAAAATTTTACAAAGTGCGTAATTTTTTCAAAGTGCGTTGCCACAATGCTGTCTGATATATAAGATTTTTTTAAAAATCAGTATCGATGTGCTTTTTGCGAGGCATGCCCCTATTTGCGCGCGGTGTCCTTCTGCATCGGATTCCCTCTCTATATACTATTTCTTTTAATCTTTAAGTGTTACAACTGCTTCATATATTCTATAAATTGAATTAGATTATTTTATATAAGAAGAATAATTTGTATGGATACAAACAAATAAAATTTTTCTACTGATTATGTTATAAAGCGTTCCTAGATTCTGTCTAGACCCCCCCTTTTTTTTTTTTACGAAATTGCCAGATCTGCTCTAAAATTAGCATGGAAATAGAAATAACATACGATATTCCTTAGGAATAGTTAGATACTACTCGCTTGGAAGAAAAAAATTCAATATTTTCTCAAGTTGCTTATTCTCAAAACGATTGATGTTATTTAAATAACATGTAATTTCAAGATTTTTTGAAAATTGAATTGGACGCAGGCGACGTCATTACGTTTTCACTGAGTAACGTCAAAGTTATTTTTGGAGCGCCTCACTAAAATGCTCATAAAATAGGAAAAAAGTGAGATATTTTCAAAATTTATGTATATTTGCATTCAGAAAGAGTCCGGCTATCAAAATTTACCAAAATGTCAATTTGTGAAAATTTGACCTTAAGGGCCCTTTTCTCGTGACGGCAGTCAAATGATTTTTCTTGGATTATCAGATTCTATTTTGCAGCCTTACATTTTGCGTGTTTTTGTTTATTTCCGGGAAATGCGTACACTTCATGTATAAAGCTAGTTTTTTAAATGTCATAATTTTTCATTCAATTATGCATACGCAAATCTTCAATGGCCCTCCAGAATTTTATTTTAAAAGATATCAATTTGGTACTATCATGAGGACAGTCTGAGGACAGTCAATTATTTTTCTGCTTTTCGTTATTTGTTGTTTATCATATGGACTAATCTTTTTCTGGTCAAATAAAAGAAAAAAATGTTTTTCATTTTTGGCATTTCATATTTTTATGTATTTAATGAATTTCGTGTGAAGATGGATTTTTGGAGTATGAAAAAATAATATTTGATAGGGAAACGTAGATATGAATATGTACTTTTGCCTCTATAAAATTGTAAATGAATTTCTTCACTCTGTAGTACCTGATGACCTTTAATATATGTTGAACATATGTAAAAAAAATTACAATATATGTGTTCATAAGAACCTTTATACATTTAAGTGTATGTAGTGTTCCACAAATATAAACGTTTTGTATATTTAATGTATGCTTGAGCACAATTCATACTATATACATATAGACAAAAGATGTACTAAGAATAGGTTGGAAAAATAGTTGAAACAATTTCACGTGCCTTTATAAAACATAGATATAGATATACGTGTATATCTATATAGCATACATGTACCTGAATTACATTTCTCTCCTCGATATCCATCTGAACAACCATTTTCACAAACTCCAGTCACGTGGTCACAAGATTCCTTGTTAAGGCAGTTTTGGCTACAAGAAAACATGCAGTCTGCCCCATATTTGTCTGCAGTACACACTGTCGAGAATATGAGAAAAGTAAAAAAAATGTCATTGATTAAAGAAGCATAGATAAAAAATTGCAACATTAATCATTTTACATGAAGTGTTACATCAGCATAATTATTATTTTGTAAGACCATTGGCATATCCAAAACAATTTCACTTGTTACGAAGCATTGGTCATTTTTACAATGGGTTGGACACTAAATATTGCATCTAACACCATACATGTAGTACCCTTCTGTAACAACCTAATATAATGAAAAGAATTAAAGGTTATGTTTTTAAGTGGTGTAATACTGAGCTCTGTATGTGTGTGATTATTTTTAACGCAATCTTAAGTAGATGTTTATTACTACAAAACTTTTTTAAAAAATCTAAGGCATTTGCATCGCATAGGACCATGTTTTACAAAAAATAAAACACAATGCGGGGTATGGTGTAACTGGTGTTCATGATTTTTGCTTCAATCATAACGGATCATACCTATCTATAATAACGACAGAACTAGAATGTGCCTCGTTTGGGCGTTATATCAAGTTTGTTGATAGAAACGTGCCTTTATAGAACTATGTAATTTAATTGATTGTTTAAGGTACATGACACTTTTCATATTGAAAAAAAAAATCCTTAATCAAATGTATTTGTTCAGGCCATCAACATAACTTTAAAATGTTTATCTATTCAAATTGGTAGCGCTTTATAACTGTGACTGAAATGTTTTTAAATCAATTGTAAATTAGCATTTATTTATTCATGAAGTAAAATAAATATACTGCAAAATCATATATATCATTCAGTATGGACCAACATTTTTATCGGTAACGGCGAAATTAAATCTTAATACATAATTCATATCAACTTTGTATGTCAAAGTCACGACAATTTGATGTCGAAGGAATCTATTGTGACAGCGTCCTCCGTGAGAAGTATATTTTTGGATTTATATGAAAAGATTTTCTCAGAGTAGACATATTTAAAAAATGCTACTTCTCGCTTTAAACTTTGCATTGCAATGTTTCTAAAAGGATCCACGATGTCTTTTTTAAAAATAAATAAAATACCTCCTGAACATTGAGGGCCTTTCCATCCTGGTTCACACCCATAAAAGCACATGCCGGAAATATGATCACAAGATTGATTCACACATTTCTCACATCTCAAGGAGCAGTTTTGACCATACGATCCGCTGTAGCAAACTATTTTTGAAATCTAATTAGTTAATTTACAAAACAAAAAGCTCCCAAAGGTTTAAAGATATGTATGCCGTGTTAAACAGTATTTTTGCACAGCTGAAACCGAACAAAAATTTCTGGAGTATGATAAGCTACCAAAAATGAAGCATTCTTGCAAATTCGACGAAATTTTATTCGGTATTAACAAAGTACTAGTCAGGAAAAGAACATGATATTCTCATGCATATTTATAAAGGACTGACATTTATCCTGGATCTGCGCATGTGCGCGGGAAAAGCATCGCGAGAATCATCAGGTCGAGGAAAATATTTTTTGTGACGTCTGTTCAGTGAGGGACACAAATAGACCAATCAGCTCAATAAGTTGCATTTAATGCATTTATGTGTTACTACATAAAATACTACATGTGTTTTTCAAAAAGGCTAGTTTTTTAAATCGCTCTCAGAAAGACTTGATGCATTATGTACATTATTATCTACTAATCCCATGCTCATATTTGCATACAAATGATTAACAATGAAGAAAATTAAACTTTTCCCCACTCCATTGTACAGGTCCGTTTGTTTAGAGTTTCCCCGTGCTGTACTGCTAGTGGACATTTTTGGTTGGGTGAACATTTACCGATCTTCAGTATGGAGCGCATATTATGCGCAAAAGATATTTTATGTCAAATACAATGTATGGAAAGTAATTTAAACTGCTTACACCCTGAATGGGATATCGTCAATTATTCCTTTTCGTTTTTTAATATGAACTACATAACATATGTAGATGAAACTTACATACCATACATCTTGCCTTCTTAGAAATATAGTTGGGCTAATAAAATAAAATTGGTCAAGGAATTCCAGGCCTCTAAAAACTATTCCAGTTTGAGAGCACAACCAAGTATTTCGATGAACACCATTAAGAAAAATTAATTCAGGTAGGTAGCATCGTTTTTTTAACTTGGGTGGGGGAATAGAACAGATAGAGTAAAAATCAATTAGTTCGAAGAAATCTGACAAGTAAAATAGGTTCCCATATCTTTCACTACTAAATTTTATTCATTCACTACAATTTACTGCCAAACTCCAAATTTCACTTTCGAATTAGCCCGAGCCAATGCTGATAACCTACTTGCAAGATTTTTTTTATATTTTTTCATGACCCAGAAATACTGTGGTTCACATGTAAAGAATATAATTATATTATCTAGTAGTATTCTGGTTTTGGCATTCGGTATATTGACGTGCAGATTTATATATGATATTCTGTGGAATACTTTTTGTTGTTTTGAACCATTAAGAAATGCAGAATCGAATGTATCTAATAACCATTTTGATTGATCATTATATCATTTGTTTATATTGGTTATTTCATTTTGGCACAACATGGTTTCCACACTTCTTTATCCATAGTCGCTGACAGCTGTAGAAGTTCACCCAACCGAAAATGTCCATTGAAAAGACAATTGCACGTGATTATTCCTCGGTACAAAAAGCAACCAACTCTGAGGTGCTCTCAATATTGACAATCCCTAACTCACGTGTTTGTAGTAAAAACGTAGTAAACCATCATGCTTTTCGGTTCATTCACGAGATTGGACCATTGTTTGCTGTAAACATGCGAGACAACGTGATCATGAATATTTCAATAAGAGGCGGTTTTTTATCCGACACGGAGAGAAAATAATTTTTACCAAATAATATTTCATAACTTTTAAAAGTGATGGAGTGGAATGGAGTGGAATTGTCTTATTTGCAGAAAGTATATAACTTATATAACTTGATGAGACACCACATATATTTATTACTTTTAAAATAAAACACTAATACGGCATATATAGCTTTAAATTCTAAAACAATAGTTTAAAAGACTTAATAAGAATTAATCATTTTAAAACATTTATACATACACTGGTCACAAGCTGGGCCTTGGTACCCGCTGATGCACCCAAAGTTGCAGTTCCCATTCATATTATGGCAACTTTTTCCAAGACAGGAAGGGCTGCATTGTTTCAAACAGTTGTCTCCGAAAAATCCATGGCTACAAACTGAAATATGTAGTAAAACTTAATTCCAGGAAACCAATTTAGTTTCCTTTACATTTTTTATACAATATGGTGTTTGTGAATTTGTTCAGGAAACTGCCTCTAATAAAATTCATTAAAACATAAATTCGGTATTGTATTTAATCTTATTTTACTTAAAAAGTCATAAATCAAATACTAGTGTTACCAAAAAATTGCGGAGTTAATTCTTTTAAAAGACTTTCACAATCACCATCATAAACCTTGCTGATGGAATTATTTAACAGCAGTCGTCACATAGACTCATGGCGTCCTGCTCCTGTCTTTTCAGATTGTCTTCATTTAAAAGGCTATTCTCTATCAAATAACCAGTCAAGCCAACCTCAAACCCCTTCACCTAAAGAATAACATGTTTCCCATACTCATCCTTTTGTTTTTCATTGCTATTATCTCTTGTCCCTAATTACAAGAGTCATATCCCGCTCAACATAGTGTTGCTTCATAGTTTGTACTCCACATTACCCCTTAACGTCACCATTTTTGACAATGTCTAAATTAAAGATCTTTGACGCATATCGTCATATATGTGTCATTCATTATGTGAAATACTTGAATTTTTAAAAATGAGTACAACAAGTTAAAGAGTATTTATGTAGGTAAATGTTTGGACATTATGTTTCCGTATAGCATGTTTCTGTATAGCCTGATAACAAAAACAAAATGTATTTGTGAAACACTATACGCCCGGCGGCACAAAGTTTGAAAAAAGCTATGTTTAGCGTAAAGGTCAACGTCAAGGTCACAAGGTCATTGACCTTGGTATCATTTGAAAGAACTTGATTATGGCAGTATGCATACCAGTTAAGAAGTCCCTATCTCTCATGGTTCAAAAATTATGGTTAAGGATCAAAAAAGCTATTTTTAGCACATAGGTCATAATCAAGGTCACAAGGTCAATGACCTTGGTGTCATTTAAAAGAGCTTAATGAGTGAAGTAAACATATCAAATATGATGTTTCTATCTTTCATGGATCAAAAGTTATGACGAAGGTTAAAGTTTTAATACAAAAAAGCTATTTTTAGCATATAGGTCACAGTCAAGGTCACAAGGTCATTGACCTTGGTATCATTGGAAAGAGTTTTATTAGTGGAGTACATGTATCCATACTATACATGATGTCTCTATCTTTCATGGTTCAAAGGTTACGGCGAAGGTTAAAGTTTGTAGAAAAAAGCTATTTTTAGCATATAGGTCACAGTCAAGGTCACCAGGTCATTGACCTTGGTGACATTTGAAAGAGCTTCATTAGTGGAGTATGCATACCAAATATGAAGTCCGTATCTCTCATGGTTCAAAAGTTATGGCGAAGGTTAAAGTTTGCAGACAAACAGACAAACAGACAGACAGACAGCCAGGACAAAAACAATATACGTCCCGGATCTATCAATCAGGGCGCATAAAAATCTTCATTGACAATGCTATTTGAAAAAGTCAAAATTTGTCGTAAGCCGACCAACGATATTTAAACCCTTTAAATGCTGTTTTATTTATGTTTGACATCACAGGCCTTTAATATTTTGTCAAAATAACAAATGATCATTATCCAACAGGATGCAAAAAAATGTGTTTTGGTTGAATGGTATTTGAAATATTAAAAACATTAGCATTTTTCTATGACAATTCTCGTGCAGCTGCAAAATACATCAAAATTCAAGTGATAAAAATAATAATTGTAAAAGACAAATAATTCGTTTGCATTTTTTGAAAACAATCATTTACCTTTATTGCAACTTTCTCCCTCGTATCCAGGTTTACATCCTTTGTCACATCTTCCTGTTATTCTGTTGCAAATTAAATCGTTGAGGCACTGACCACTACAGTTGTTTTTACAATCCGGACCAAAGGTTCCAGAAACACATGCTGTCAGGAAATGAACACTGATTACTCACTTTCTATCAGTTTAATTTCTTCTTCAAAAATGAATATATTTTCCATATACAAATTCTGATAACTGATTATTAATTCATTCAATAAATGTCTGTAGCAAAGGCTTACTTTTGTTACAAAACACACCCATCCATCCGTCTGAACAACCATTCGAGCAGGTACCATTAATGGGATTGCAAGTGAGATTATGTTTACAAGGTCCAGGACAAGATAACGAACAATCAGGTCCATAAAATCCATTTGAACAGGCTTCATAAGAAGAGGATTACAAATTTATGTCGATTACAATATTAATTTTATACAGATAATAATCGAACATATAAAATCAAATATATATCTTTCAATCTTCTTATCCCTCGCACAGCTAGTTGCGGAGGAATAGATACATCGCTTCTGTGGGTAAGGATGTGTGTGTGTGAGGGTGTGTGAGAGAGAGGGTGGGTTTGTGTATGTTATTGTGTCCGTTACAGCTTGTGTGCAAGATTTAAAGAGAACCTTTGCGCTGTCACTTCTCAGCTTCCCCATACTTATATGACATGGTAAAAGGACGAAACCTATTTTTTTTTTCAAGAGAATCGGTGAAATATTTGCTGCTCTTGAGAATTTATCTTGCATATGAAGACATAGTCATTACCGGCGAAGTTCCTGCCACGAGTGGAAGTCACCTCAGAGGTGCACTTGTTTAAATTAACATTCGGTTTCATTTTTTTTTTTCATTAACACCAAATACTGTATATTTTTTTATAAAAATTAATTTTCATATAACTTTCATGTAAAAAAGACATTCAGTATTTCGTTGTAATATTTAAATGTAATGAGGCATAAACAAGTCGGATTACCTTGGTCACATTTAATGCCAGTCCAACCACCTGCACATCCAAGGCATGTCCCGTTTGTGACGAAACATTGATCATTTTTGCAATGCTTGGGACACGGAACATTGCAGTTATCATCATAGTAACCTCTCTTATCACAACCTAATGGCAACATTTGTTTGTCTTTTAATACATGATACAAGAATATTTTATCAATTATACTTAAAGAGAGACCATTTAAATCATAATGTTAATTGTGAATTGTAAATTAATAGATTAATTTCATATATCTGTTCATAAAAACTTCAATGAACATCGGATGATACATATCTGTAAATGCACGTTCTATTTGGATTCAGATCAGACAATTAAAAAAGAGCACTCTAGGTAAACCATGAGCAGCAAAGAACAATCAATTTAATAAATAGATCTGTTATGATCCATAAAAACAGCTTTAAAAAAATTCATACATGTTAAATAGATTGATCAATGTGAGGAAAGAGGCAATAAAATAATCAGTTTGATTTGAAAATTAACTAACTTCACTCAGACGATTGGTAACTGAATAACTTTTTTTTTTTTGCTAATTCATGTATTTTGACGTTTTTCATTGCGTTATAATCCTTTTATTTTGTTTCATTAAATGACCGAACATTTCAGCTGTTTATTTTTAACTTTAACTTTATTATCCTTTTTTTAATTTTAATTGCAAGATGGGCTTATATTTTTATTTTTGCTGAATGTGATAAAACAAACCCATTTTCCTCAAAATTTAAGAAACATTGCAATTTCACGAAGCAACTTGAATTTGAAAAGAAACTTTTTTTTTTAAATTAGGAATTAAAACACAAAGTCTTTACTTTATATTGTTGTATGAAATGAGAAATGATTTTTGGTCAGTAAATTGGTATACGAACAAAAGAAATATCTTAGCTTGTTTTTTAGAAATGTTTTCTTAATAAACAACTAGTTTAGATTGCGTTAAAGATAATTTGGAAAATTAACTTACCTATAACGACTAAATTGCATAATTCTATGAACGTAAACCTTTCATTAACAAACTGAATAAATCGTCCAAAAGAGGCACAAACGTGTTCCGCAGTTAATGATGGAGGATAAGACTCGTTATGTTTGAAGCATAATTCACCACTTCTAATGGCAGGAGAATTTGATACATAAATGGAATATCCTGATAAACGACTTTGTTGTCTTGATCCTTGAAAAAAAAAATGAATAAAATGGATCTATGGGCAATTACATAAAACGTTTTATCAAGTGATTTCTTAAATACATGTATAACATTCAGTGTGTTTGATTTATAGACACTACCTTCGGAGAAAAACTTACTTAAATCCTCACTGTATAATCGAAAGGAAAAAATTATGGCGTATATTGCTTTTGTCTCTTGAAGATCAACCATCCACCATTGATCCCTTTTATTATCTGTCCTAGTACATGTTTCCATTTTGTCATCCACAGCCATACGTGAATCGTATGATACATCTCGACAACTTATGCAATTGGCTGTTGTACTTTGATTCGTAGACTGTTTTAGAGAAAGATCATCTAAAGAGATAAAGGTTTAAAAAAAAAACAGGATAGTGCATAATCTATCCGAGCATCTGAGGCACAGTACTATTGTACTTTGTTTTGCGGAATTATTTATTGAAAGATTGTCTTCAGAAATGAACTCATCAATGTACTCCCAGATTGTATAAACACAAAAACAATAGTTTGATACATGTACATACCATATCCATTTATAGAGAGAATTCCAGTTAATACGAAGATCGATTTCAGATGATTCATAATTGATAGGGAAATTCAAAATACATATAATTATGTACACGTCAATACAGAATTATTGCCATAATATTCATTTGGTTCAGTTTAGATAAGAATAACTTTTTTTTTCAATAACGGAAGTTAATCCAATGGAGGCGGAGCGAAATTTCATAAAATGTACACGCCTAGTATTCATAAATAATTTATGTACAATTTTGATTGTTATTTTAAAAAACACAATTAACAATATACAAAATACACACACTCTGAATGTCTGCCTGTTTCAAAAAATTTTTAAAGGTGTAAAGAAATGAGTCTAGTTGAGGTTTGGAAAATGCTAGATGCAGAACTATAGCTCTCCGAAAAAATATATATTGATAGACCAGAGAGCTACATTGCCACCCATTGAAAAAAAACCTGTAAATTTATTGCGCACAAAAAAGTGCGCAGTTTTTCCATTTATTTCTCCATGTTTTAAAAACTGTCATTTCAAAATATTACTAACCGTGTGTTCTTAACATATTCTTCCACTGTTTCCACAACAAAAAATTCCTTATAATTGTTTTGATAGCCTTCCTGGCCATGAAATTGAGATCATTGAAAATTTCCCTTATTTATACTGCCATTTTGGTTTGTAAGATAATTCGATCCAACGCGCTTCGTACAGATGTAAATTACAAAAGTAATTGAAAGAGGAGTAAAGACTATTGAAATCTAGCTTTTTTGTAATAAAAGTAAAAAATTCGAAGAATTAATCCAGAAACAGCGCACTTTTTGTGCGCAAAAAATATACAGTTTTTTGAATGGGTGGCACTGTAGCTCTCCGGTCTATCGATATATATTTTTTCGGAGAGCTACAGGTCTGCAGTTAGGAAAATGCTTCTCTCTTTCTCAGGGAATGATCTAAAGGATATTTCTGATTTGTTTTGTTTTCTAAGTAGTTGAAATCCTGCCCTAAAACCTATCGATATATATAAACAGAGTGACACATTGAAAGCCTGTCAACGTTTTCATTCGAATAATACGAATTATAATTTTCAAACGTTATTTGTAGCAATCGTTTATTTAGCAACGATTATGACTCTTAAGTCAACAAAAACTATCCTTTTCTTTAAGCATGTATGATTTATATTAAGATAAGAAAATATTTTCGTCATATCAGATGAAAATTTTTAAACTAATTGTGCTTTGAAAAGAATATACAGCGACGTGTTTAATTTATATCTTTTTATTTCTTTGGACGTTCGATGTTTTGATTAGAAATTGATATATTATGCCTTCTTTCAACGACTGGTCGGCGAAATTTTTTTTTTGTTCTCTGACTACAACCGTGTGATCTGGTCATGTCTCAGATAATAGAATTAAACTAAAGTGAGACGATGAAAACATTTCCCAGATATAATTTTTTTTTGTTAAAAGTCCCCTAAAGAAATTTTCACTAATATTGGGGAGGAACCACTTGCCGATGGTAGGCTGTAAATGTACAGTTTTCTCGGCAATTATAATGTGAGCAGTACTGTGATATGGGACACCGGTTGTCCAGTCTCTTCCGAAGAACCTGTCCCCACGGTGCGCAGTGGGATTTGAGACCTTGACGTGAATATCATCTCCCCTTATCCAGCGACTCCAAAGCTATAGATCAGACAGCTTTAACAGGGCGACGATGAACTCTTTTAAACTATGTTCAGAATCATTCTAAAATCGGTCACGACTTTACTTTAAAATGAGAGTTCATCTGGCAAAACCATTTTCTGTTCTGTTCTTGTTTTGTGTAACATTTACTAGAAATATTCAGAGGAACATACTTTTTCTTTCCAAATTCAATAAGATAGATTAACAACTTCAATACTTCGAGTAGAGTGTTTTCTATTTTAATTCACATGTTTTGCATGTATATGTTATAAGGTTCGTGTTGTTTACTAAATCTGAATCATTAAATGCTATTTACACTATTAAGTGTATTCGCTATAATTTATTTCATTGAATTTTAGAGGAACTTTGAGTTAATTCTAGAAGAGATAATCCAACTTATACTCATAGTTCCCTTTCTAGGAAAGAACTTTTGGACAATTTGAAATCAAAATATTTTACTAAAATCAACAGCATATAAACTTACGACACTTCAACTTTATACACAGGCATTCCCAACGATAAACAATAACCCACGATAAATTAAAGTCCAGGCTATTTTATATCATTGACAGCTGCTTTTTCAATAAAAATGGAACTCGTTAATTTTCTTACCTCCTCAGTGGCCATTCGCAAATTTATTTTGTTAAAACACATTCTGATTGCACACACAAGTACTCTGAAGTTGACATAAAAAGATGCTTGAGTTTCTAACTGACAATATCTATGTAGTTTTTGGAGACCAGGTCTTCCAGCAATCTATTGAGATTCCCATGGGAATTTTGCTCCGTCATTAGCACACCTATTTTTATATTCATATGAAGCAGAATTTATGCAAAATCTTATGCGTGAAAAGAAGAAAACACTGTGGCCTTCAACCCGACATTTAGATATATCGACGACGTATTGTCAATTTAAGGATGGTAATTCCCATTCCTATGTCGATACGATATATCCTGGAGAGCTTGAGATAAAAGATACCACAGAGTCTGACACA